TTCCGGAGCGCCGGGCTGCGGCTGCGGCCGCTCGGACCTCGCTCCCGCGCGTGGGCGTCGGAAAGGGAACCCAGCCGCGGTAAGTGGGGCTCCCGCGCCCGCTTCTGCTCCGGGGCCGGCCGTGACGCCCGCTCGGCCAGCTCCGGCGCGCCCTGCCTCCGCTCCCCGCACCCGCCTCGAGCACGCTTTCCGAGGACCGGCCTGCTAATTAACTTTAATTACCACCCTGGGCCTCCACCTCCTTGAACCCAGCGCCGGCCGGGCCGGGACCTGTGGAGTGAGTTTACCGGGCTGATCCGTCTCCTTCACTTTTGGAGACAGGTCTCTTGGCAGAATGGGTGTCATGCTGCTTATTAAAGTAAGTTTTATTTTCTTTCATTCTGACTTGTTTTCTTAACCACTTTTCCCACCTCCTTCTGGCAGTCTGGAATTATTTTGGTTCTGGGAAGACTTCTCGAAATTATATTGTGAGCTATATAACCTTTGACAATTACACGGAAAGTACAAGAGAACGATAAGATAGTTTGTGTGGAATAATGACATTTTAGGCTGTTGCCAGTTTGTATGGTGACAGCAACTTTTTTTTTCTTTTTCCTCCTCCTCCTCTTCCTCCTCCTCCTCCTCCTCCTCCTCCTCCTCCCCCTTCTCCTCCTCCTCCTCCTTCTCCTTTTTTCTGCAAGCTTGTCCTTGAAGGAGATTGTTCAGTGGAATATATCCTTTGGGTTTAGAAACAAGTGTTTTGAAAATAAGCTATTTTTAAAAGTACATTTAATCGGATGTCACTGTTATTACCAATAATAGTATTGTACTTACAAGCTTGGTATTGATCTTCCCGCACTTAAGCACTCAGCACTAGCCAGAGTTTATGGAACCGTTCCCATAAGTAATTGGAAGGTGAAGTTATGGGTGTTTAAAAAAGAATGCTAACTTTTTTTTTTAAGGAAACAAAACAAAACACCCTAAAGTCTTATTCATGGCTTTCATACACCTTAAAGGGAGATATGCAGGGAACAGTCCACTGTTTAACAGGTCTTAAAAAAGAAAAAAATTGGGTCATGGAAGTAGGCTAGCGCCCAAACTGGAAATATCTCCCTGGCTTCCTTCCAAACAGATATTTAACCCATACCTCTAAGGTGGGTCCTACCACCCAGAGGGTTCTAGAACGAGTCGATATGTGATTTCTTAGTACCCAAAGATTTATTAAATTAAAATGTGCCCAGAGGGTAAATGAAATGTCTCATTAAAACTTATTTATGTGGGTGTGCATGTGTTTGTGTTTTTTTCTTGTCCTGTAAGCCTGTGAGATATTATATGGGTTGCCTCTGCAGAGGGAGGCCGATGGTACGTTTAAAAACAATTCATTTTTCTAATAGCATAAATTCCTCCAATGAGTTTCATAGATACTTAGTGAATGCTTTTCAAATTCAACAACTCTTAGTTACTGCGGTTAAATATAGAACTCGTTATAATGAATTGCAGTTTTCATAGAAACTGTTAGATTAGCATTTTTAAACTCTATTTCATTTTACTTATTTTGTTACTTTCGTACACACTTCTTTCCAACTCAAAGTTTGGTGGAAGTGACCATAAAATGCTAAGTATAAATGGCAGTCACTGCTGAGTAGTTTTTTTGAACATGTGTTCCCTTCTTACTGGTTTATTGGGTTCAAATTTTGCACTTAGTAAACTCTGGACATTTTTGGAATTCTTTGTAAAGTGTTAGAGATTTTAAAGATAATATTGGAAATATTTCTTAGTTTTGATCAAATATGACAGATGTAAGAAAATAGCTTAGGAGATGTCATCTTGATCTTTTCTGCTTCATAGTTTATCTTTTTTAAGGTATTGGCCAAGTTAAACATAATACCATTTGGCTTAATAATATTTATTGTCTTATGATTCTATCTAGTTAGAAACTTGTGTGGCTTTGTTACACTTTTGACTCAGAATCAGCTATTTACGTTTGAGGGAACAAAAGAGCCGAGATCTGGGGTGTAGTAGTCATTTTGTTGGGCAGCTTTGGTGATGAAGGTACTTGCGGGAAGCACAATGTTTTCTTGTCTTAAGCTGTACGTGCATATAGGGGTGGATAGGTGAGGGAATACACAGAGAATAGTGAGAAGGCTTTCACCAAAATGGAATGCAAACAGGATGCTCGTGTTATAGTACAGAGAGGATGGGAAAGAAGGGTTTGTCTGTGGAAGAGAGGAGGAGAATTCATCATGAGGTGCCTCGGACTTCCAGGGTTGGTGATGGTGAGGGACCATCGAGATACTTCTCTTTACCTTCAAGAAATACAGACTCCTTACTCTGCTCTTCAGAGTCCTTCAGCATTAGCTGCAGCCTGCAATTCTGGTGTCACCTTTCATCTCTTGTCAAAGCATTGTGGATCCATCCCAGTGACTGTGCCGCCGTGCTGTTGCCCAGTGTTTATTCTTCTTGTCTGCCTCCTTTATGGCATTCATTCCACTTTTAAATAAAAAGGAGGATGCACTGGAGTCATTGGTAGGAGAACGATGCACCTTGAACTTAATTATGTTAGTGAAATAAGTCAGATACATGAGCTTAAATATTTATGATTTCTCTTACATGAGAAACCAAGAATATAAAGAGCAAATAAAAGATAGGTAATAGGAAAAAGAGGTAAATCTTTGCAAAAAGAATTAAGATGTGTTTCAGGACATTAAATACTGCTAGCGTAACATTAATTTTTTGATTCATTTTGATTATAGTGCATGGTGAGAATATGGGTCTGGGTTCCATCTTCAGTGTGTGGCTAGTCATTTTCCCAAAATAATTTACTAAAGAGGCTGTTTTTCCTCCACTGTGTGTTTTTGGCCCTTTTGTTAAAGATCAAATAGTTGAATGTACTTGGGGTTGTTGCTGTGTTTTCTGTTTCATTGATCCTTGTCTGTTTTTGTGCTAGTACCATGCTGTTTTTATCACAGTAGCTTTGTAGTGTAACTTCAGGTCCAGGATTGTGACGCCTCCCACTTTGCTTTTTTTTCTCATGTTTGCTTTGCTATGCTAGAGCACAGTTCATAATAGCTAAATCTTGGGGAACTGGGTCATATGTCCATCATCAGATGAATAAATAAAAGACAATGTGGTGGAATAAAAGACAATGGAATCTTACTTTGCTCTAAAGAAAGAACATCTCGAGTTCTTTGCAGGATGTGAAATGGATGTACTCTGAGGCCATAATGTCAAGTGAAATCAGTGAGGCGCACAAGTTCAGGATCATGTTTTCTGTTAAATGAAAAATCCAGAGTAAAAATAATAAGCAAAATTAAAGACAGGTACTATCATAGAAAGTAGCTGACAGGCAGAAGGGGTCAAGAGGTGGAAGAAGAATGGAGGGACGAAATAGGGCATGAAAAGATGAACTGGGATGTGTTGTGTCCATATGCCCACTTTCAGCATTGTGCACTACATGTAGGTATTAATAAACAAAAATAGAATGTTTTAAAAAGAAAATGTGTTACATACATAAAGTGTACCAACTCTCCACAAATAATGTAATCATTATGTATTACATACTTATACTAATGAAAAACAAAGAAGAATACTGGCCTGCCCACTGGTGACATTTCTTCCTGAAAGTCTTAAACCCCATATTTTTAGGTCCTGCAATGATCCCTTCCATTTGTGCAGCTCTAAATTGCTGCAGTGTTTTGCTGGAGTCTCGGAGTTGATGCCAGATATTTGAAAGTTTCTGAAGCACAGTGCCACTTGACTAGGTGATTAAAAGTAAACCCTAGGAAAAGTAAAGTTTGTAATTATTATTCTTTTTTAACAAAATGTATTTGGTACACTGACTTGTTGTGATCCTCCGGTTATCAGCTTCCCCAGCACTGGGATTACAGGCATGCGCCACCACACCTGATGTCAGTGGCTGGCTTATTGTGCTGGGGGGACGGGGCCAGCTCAGTATGTGGTGCCGGGGATCAAACCTCAGTCCCTGCACTTGCCTAAGCAGGCGCTTAGTGCTGAGCTATCTTAACTGGCCCCTGTGTGTGTGTGTGTGTGTGTGTGTGTGTGTGTGTGTATGTCTGTGTATGTCTGCATATATTTTTTTTGGATGGAACAGATGTTTCCAAAATGTTTTATTATTCCTTCTTCATTGGCATTGAGAGATGTAAAGGATGTGATTGTCCAAGTGTACGTGATTGTCCTTTGCTCATTGTCCTGTCTCTTCTGCCACTTCATTGTAAGCTCATGGAAGGAAGGGGACATTGTATCTTCACTTTCTATGTTTCTGTTAGTGCTGTTTTCAAATCATATAATTATTGTTATCTTGAACTGCAAATATTTCCCACTATTATCTCGGAGAATGTAATGTTGGTTAAATATTTATTAAATGAGCAAATGTAAGTAAATAGACCAATGAGTTAAGAGACATTTGTTGAGATACTTTCTTTTCGTAAGAGTCTCGACAGTAAGCAAACCAATAGGAAATCCTCAAGTTCAGCTAGAAAAGAGGGCAGGGTGGTATTTATAAGTACAAAGAAGAACATTCATGGTTGACTATTTTGAAACTTCTGGTTGGTGGTTTAAAAATGTGACTGATAAATTCAGAGGTAGTATACAGCTGTACATAGATTTTTAAAATCAGAATGTAACATACTATAAATGTAACATATGATGTACACTTCCGTTCTTATAGAAACTGTGGAAGATGAAGTCTTTCTTTGGTTGCCCAAGAAGAGTTACTGTACTTTAAAGATCTTGCCATTAGAGTTTATAACAAGCTGCAAACCACAACCAATTAACTAAAAATCTAGATGGGCAGCTTAAAAAAATGAAAGAACTTACTAAGGATAGTATTAAGCATTTAACTGTTAAGATATTATCTAAAATACCTAAACCTAGTTGTTAGCTGTGCTGTTAATTAAATTCCCATGCTAAATGAAGGAGTTAAGACTCCTGGCCTTCAAGGGTATGTAAATACATAGATGTTAAATTCTAGACTTTGAGAATTGAGTTTTTTCAGATTTTACCTTAGAATGTTTGATAATAAAAATACAGCTTGGAATAATCTTTTTCCTTGATCCAAGTCGGAAATGATTTGGCCTAGAG